CAGGGACCCACCTTCCTCCAGTATAATCTCAGGTTATCTACTGATAACATCATCAAAGACCCTATTTCTAAACAGTCACATTTACAGGATACAAGGGCTAAGACTTTAACTTATCTTTTAGGGGGACACAATTGAATCTATAACAGTCACCCTAAATGAAAACTAATTAAGCAGTCATTCCCTGTTCCTTCCTCTCCCCCAAATCCTTAATAACCCCTCATGCATTTTTCTGCCTTTGTGGATTGCCTTTTCTAGATATTTTATGTAAATGAAATTATACACTATGTGGCCGCTAGTGTCTGACTTCTTTCACTTTGCATAATGTTTTCAAGGCTCCTTTATATTGTATCATGTGTCAGTACTTTATTCCTTTTTTTGACTGAGTAATATTCCATTGAGTGACTATACAAAATTTTGTTTATTAATCTGTATGTGTGTTTTGTGTTGTTTCTACCTTTTGGAATAGAGTTGCTATATTTGTGTAAAAGTTTGGTTTCTTTTTGACACAGGTTTTTTAGGGGCTTGGGGGGACATTTGCAAAATTTTAATGTGTTTAAAAATAAAAGCTATATACTATTTTTTTTTAACACTGGTTTTTAATTATTTGGGGTATATACTTAAGACTCCTGGTGTGGCACTGGGAGGATAAGCACTGGACCTCAAGGTCAGTTTGAACTGCAAGATTACCAGTTTAAACTCACCAACCACTCTTTGGATCGCTATGAGTCAGAATTGACATGACAGCACTTACCAACAATAACGTAGAAGTAGAATTGCTGATAACTTTGTATTTAACATTTTGAATAATCTCCAAACTATTTTCTCCAGTGTCTATACCATTTTACATTTCTACCAGCAATGTTTGAGGTATCTCCTCAAACAGTTTCTCCATCTCCTCATCAGCACTAATTATTGTCCTTTTTTTAAACCATCCTAGTGGATGTGAATGGAGTCCTGGTGTGGCGCTGTGGGTTAATGCGCTGGATTGAAAAGTCGACTTGAACCACAAGGTCGGCAGTTCAAGTTCACCAGCCGCTCCTAGGAAACCCTATAGAGGGTCGCTATGGGTCAGAACCGACTCGAAGACACTTAACAGCAACAATGGAGATGAATGGTATTTCCATGTGGTTTTGATTTTCATTTCCCTAATGACTAATGAGCCCTGGTGTCACAGTGAACTAAGCATCAGACTGCTAACTGTAAAGTTTTTGGTTCAAAGTCATCAGCTATTCAACAGGAGAAAGGTGAGGTTGCTCCCTTAAAGATTTATAGTCTCTGAAATCTTATGGAGTAATTCTACTCTGTCCTTTCTATAGGATTGCTGTGAGGCAGAATTGACTTGACAGCAATGAATGGGTTAATCACTAATGATGTTGAGCATCTTTTCATATACTTATTGGTAATTTGTCTTTGGAGAGGTGTCTATTAAAGTCCTTTGCCCTTTTTTTCCTTTGGCTGTTTGTCCTTTTGTGGTTTAATAATGCGAGTTCTTTATATATGAGGGAGCTTCATAAAGTTCGTGGGGAAATTCCATTATCTCTTAATTCCTTTTTTCCATGAACATTTCAAAGTTTGAAATGTTTTCTCCTATTGTTGTCTTTTATGCTCTTGATAGTGCCGTTTATACACAACATTTTACATTTTTTATGAAATTCTGTTTTTCTATTTTTTTTTCTCTTTTCTTACTTGTTCTTTTCATGTCATACTTAAGATTGCCAATTTCAAAGTCATGAAGATTTGTCTCTTTGTTTTCTCCTAAGAATTTTACAGTTCTAGCTCTTCATTTTTGTTTTTTGATGATCCACTTTGAGTTAATTTTGTTTTTAACTTACTATTTTGATTTGAGTGAAGGTTTACAGACAGATCATCAGCGTTACATTCAACAAATCATATACTTTGTTTAAGCTCAATGATTACAATCCCATCCACTAAACAACAGTTATCCTGCTTCCTCCATGTGATTCCTGTTTGCATTCCACTCACCTTCCCATCCCTTCTCAACTTTGTCCTTAGGAAAATATTGCCCTTTTGATTTTGAGTGATTGACCAATTCCATGGAGAGCATAACTTACTAGTGTTGTTCCTGCCTATAAACCTATCTACTGCTTGGTTGACAGTTGGGCCACAAGAGTGAATTCCTCTCCAGACCTGAAGGGTGGTTGAGGGCCATAGTCTTAGGTTCCTCCAGTTTCTTTTGTGTGTGTGGTGTGAAGTAATTCACTCATTCTTTTGCTTGTGAATATCCAGTTGTACCCAGACTATTTCTTGAGACTGTTCTTTCCCCAATGAATGCCCCTGGCACCCTCATGAATAATCAGTTGACCATACATGTATGGGTTTATTTCTAAACTCTCAGTACACATTTTTGATGCTTTAATTTTTCATTTATTATCATCATATATACTATTGTTAGCATGTAAACAACTAAGCAACTTCTTTCACCCTACTCCTGACAGTAAAGACATAGTCCATTCTTATACCAGTGGTTCATTATAGTAGTGATTTTCGGGATGATGGTGGGAGGGAGAAGAAACAGCCATGTCTCCACCTCTACTTCTTCCTCCTGCAAACTGTCCATCCCTTGCTGCTGTTGAGAAGTTTTGTAAATCAAAATTAATGACTTCTTATTTTGTATTTCCAAAAACAGTTTAATCTACACAAAAGAATAATTATATAGTTTTGAGGGACCTGCCTTTCATGCGTGAGAATCCATTTGTAAAATAGTTAAAAGATCAGTTGTTGAATGTTGTATTCTGTCATTCTTTGATTTGCTTCTTAACATCATGTTCCATAAAAGTACTAACATTTACCGTTTGCTTAAAAACTCCCATCCCGAGCAGTGGTAGAACAGGTAAGAGTAAGAAGCAGAATCCATTGAAATCCTGCCTATGAGAGAACTGGGTCCAAAAGCTTTATCTCACAAAGCCTGTTTGTGTGACAATGATGAGGATGGTGATCATGAGCAGGATATGGGACAGGAGATATCAGGAGAAAGTGATCATGATTCATGCTATAAAGTGGACATACAAACTGAAACCCTGGCTGGATTGTTTAAGCAGAATCCTGATTCACATATCAATGGAGCAACTACCTATCATTAGTGGTTCATTTCATAGTGGAAAAAACCAACACGTATATTAAAAGAATGCATCAACCCTCAAAACTGTTGCCCTGAAATAGACTTTAAACCTTAAACCAAAAGTATCCCCTGATGTCTTCTTAAAACTTAATTATTTACCTTAACTAGCAAAGAAAAAAAGTCTGCCTTTAACATTATGTTCCTTTAAGAATTTTCTACATGGGATCAAATTAACAATAACAATTCAAAAGATTATATGGGAAGTTTTGGGGGGGGGGGGACAATGAGTTTATGTAAATGGAGTTAACGAAGGAGAAACAATTCAGAAAAGGAGGGTGAAAATGATTGCACAACTAGAAGCATTAATGTCACTGGATTGTATATGTAGAAACTGTTGACATATGGTTTTCTGTGTATATTCTCAATAACAACAACAAAAACAAAAATTGTTTTAAAAGCAAAACAATCTCCCATCCTCCTGTGGTTAATTTTTGCCAATACTAATCTATTAGCCTGAGACAGAAACACTGTGTGGCAGCTGGTCACAGTATAAACTGGTATAGATCCAGAACAGTGACCAATTTCCCTGGAAACAAACTCCACATTAAGACTCAAATACCTTTTGACTCAGTCCTGTTTCAAACATCCCTCTCTGAAAAACAGTACATTGGGGTTGAGCCATAAAGCAGGACCCAAGGTTGAAGTGACCATGAGTGAATATAAGAAAAAGAAAACAGAAAAAATATAAAAAGAAAGAATAGTGAAAAGTCTCTTACCAAATTAAAAAAAAAGGTTTGTAATTGATGTAGAAATAATTATAGCAGAAACTGGGTATTATAACAGAAGTTGTTTAATCAGTACTTAGTTTATAAAATGAAAAAGATTCCTCTGGTTCTTTGTGTAGCTTTCCAGCATTGTCTTGTTAGTTTCTCTTCCTCTTTTACCTGCATATGAAGATCTGAATCTCTTCTCCATGCACTTTCTCTCTCAATCATCTCAGTTTCACTGAGAAGAGCACAGTAATTAAATGTGACTCTCCATATCCAAATTTGTCCTCTCTGAGATACATTGTCCTTGTCTCAATCACTGCCTTGTTTATTAATTGAAGTAATTTGTTGTTGTTAAGTGCTATCAAGTTAGTTCCAATCCATCATAGCAAACCTGTATTGGGTTTCCAAGGAGCAGCTGGTGAGCTTGAACCACCAACCTTGTGATTCAACTGACTTTGTAATCTAGCACATTAACCCACAGTGCCACAGCAGGACTCCAATTGAAGTAACAGCCATATAATAATTGCCATTTATGTAAATGACATTCCAGAGGAGGCCACCCTGATCGCCAGGAGTGCACACCTAGCCTTGTGTTGAACCTCTCAGAGCTATAGACAGTCATTGTACCTCCTCCTGCTACCTTGGCTTCATTGTCCTGAATGAATAAGTAAAAATCTACTCCTGCTGAGGCTGTTTCAACATTTCCAGTTTGCATTGTCATTATTCATATTGCTGAAATGCTGAATCGTATTTAAAATGTACATGTGTAGGGGAAACTTTTTTTTTTTTAACTTATTTTCTCAGGATTTTTGCTTTCTTAACCATTCTATTTACTTTTAGGGTTAAAAAAATTCAGATCTGAAATACAGCATTTTCAAAAATTGAACATTTTTAATTCATTTTTATTGTAGCTTTCTTTTTTAACCTTTATGCTCATATGACAGTGTTTTAAAAGTATTTCCACCCAGTGGAGCAAATCTGATTAAATTTGACATTTCATTTGAAGAAATAAGGTTTTATATGCCCTAGAAATGTTTACTTTATGATCTGTTGCATGTTTAATCTGTGTACTTCTATTAATGTAAATAGTTATATTAATAAATTTGATAAGACTAAATATATATATATATGTACATGTTTCCTCAATATAGGGCATCACATTTGATGAATTCAGGTCATTTTTCCAGTTTTTGAACAACCTAGAAGATTTTGCAATAGCCTTGAATATGTATAATTTTGCAAGTCGTTCTATAGGGCAAGGTAAGTAATCATCTTTAAAATTAATAACAAAGAAAGACTACTCCATTGTTTTTAGGAATATTGGCAACAAATTCGTGATATCATATTAGTCATCAGCTTACCCAAAAGTATGATTTTTTTTCTCTAAGAAATTAGCACTCTAAAACGTGGTGGGGGGAGGAGGGCGGAAATAAGCAAAGTTTAGGAAGATATGCTAAATTTTTATATTGAATTTATTATTGCCCCTGGTTTCATATTATTGGCAAAAAGCTAATGATGTTTATAAAAGTTAAAGAAGAAGAAACCACATGGCTACTTGATAACACTGAAGGATGAACAATCTTCAGAGAGTTTGTGGGAAAATGAAATTCAGAGATAAAATAAATATAAACTTTATTTCTCAACATAAGCTCCATCACAGTCAAGATACTTTTGTAAGCAATAATAGCCTAAGGATCCGGGAACTTAACCATGCCAGTGAAGTCTTTTTAACATTATTAACTGAAGAAAAATGGGTGCCCTTTAAAAATGTTAACATTGTGAAACAAAAACAAGTCAGAAGGAGTCAAATCAGGACTGTAGAGTGGATGCCTAATGACTTCCTATCAAAACTCTCATAAAACTGCCCTTATTTTGATGAGAGGAATGAGCAGGAACATTGTTGTGGAGACGCTGGTGAAGCTTTCCTGGCATTTTTCTGCTAAAGCTTTGACTAACTTTCTCAAAACACTCTCATAGTAAGCAGATGTTATCATAATTTGACCCTCCATAAAGTCAACAAGCATTTTGCTTTGACCATCCCAAAAGACTATTGCCATCATGACCTATACTCTTGACCAGTCAGTCTCCTGCTGTTCTGACTGGACCACTTTCACCTCTTGCTAGCCATTGCTTTGACTGTGCTTTGTTTTCAGGACCATACTGGTAAAGTCATGTTTCAACTCCTGTTATAATTCTTCCTTCCAAGAAATGCTTTGGGATCCTGATCCCAGTTGTTGAAAATTTCCGTTGAAAGCTCTGTTTTTGTCTGCAGCTGCTTTGAGCACAACCATTTTGGCACCATTTGAGTCAATGAAAGTTTAATTTTTCAGTCAGAATGTAAGCTGAACTAGTTGAGATGTCTATGGTGTTGGCTGTTGTATTTGCTATAAATTGTCAGTCCTCTTCAGTTGGTTCATGAACAAGGTTGCTTCCTCACAAATTAATGTAGCTGGTGTGTCACTTCAGGCTTCATCTTCAATTTCATCTTGTCCCTTCTTGAAACGAGTTATCTATTTGTAAGCTGCTTATTTCTGTGGAGCATTGTTACCATAAACTTTTTATAAAGCATATAAATGATCTTACCATTCCTCCAGCCAAGCTTCACCATAAATTTGGGTTTGGAATAGCAGCTTTCTTTTCAGTTAGCAAATGCGCTTGTTTCCCAGACAACTCACAGAATCATCTTTCTAAAACACAATTAACCTTTCTATAACATGACTGCTATGAAAACCTTGTCAGCTTCCAAATTGCTTATTGAAAAAATGTACAGGTTCCTCACCTCAAGATCCCCTATGAAGACTTTTTCCAGCTCCCTGTGTTCTACCCAAATCACTTGCTCACTATTCTCTGAATGTGCCTTGTTCTCATGTCTCCCCAGATGTCTTTGTTCATTCATGCCATTTCATCTGCCGTTTCTCTCATCTCCACCAGCATAAATCCATCTTTCCTTTAGAGTTCAGCTTAAATACAAAGCCACAACCTTTCCTAATCACTACCCTTCTTGCCCTTCTCCCTGCTCCAGCCTGAGACAAAAATAATCACTCGTCTCCAAATTCTCATAGCACTTTGTTGGTGCCTTTTATGTTATGGTTTTTTGGGCAGGTGACTCACCTCCCATTTGATCTGTAAATTCTTTAAGAATGTTTTCATTTAAATGACCTCTAAAGCATCTGTTGATATAAGTGCTCATTAAAGAGTAAGTGAATAAGAATGTATATCACTTCTTGGCTCTTTTAATTAAAACCACAGAAATTTTTGTTCTCCAAAGGCAGAATAACTAATGAAACATCATATGGTTTTATAAGCTCATGACTCATGTTTAGAAACAAATTTCTTTTACAGCCTTTCTAGTAATTAACATATACTATTAAGATAAAGTTAATGGTCTACTCTTTTTCTTTTTATATGACATTTATCTAGATGAATTTAAGCGTGCCGTCTATGTAGCCACTGGCCTCAAACTTTCACCACATTTAGTGAACACTGTCTTCAAGATTTTTGATGTTGACAAAGATGATCAATTAAGTTATAAAGAATTTATTGGAATTATGAAAGACAGACTCCATAGAGGATTCCGGGTAAACTTATAAATATCAAGTCTATCAGTATCCTTTTTTAAATTTAAAAGAAAAGAAAAATACATCTAAGTTTCAGAGATAATTTTTATAAAATGTTAAGGTTATAAACCTGAAATATTTTATTTGAAAAGAAAAAACATACATCCCCTACATAATTTCAAACAGAACTTGAGGTAATAACATATAATGCTTTTTAAAAAAATTATTTTCATTTTCAATAATTTATTTTTATATGCAGTTAGTTTACTGTCTCTATCCCAGTTTGTAGGGGAGAAAATGTTGCCAGATATTTCTGAAATATTCATTCTTCACGTTGACTTTTCAGACTTGTGAATATACAAAGAAATATCACCTTCTAGTGTTATATAAACAGAAATTCTTGAGACAACACAAGACTCACATGCCACTGCACGTTCAGTACTTTTTATGTATCCTTTATTATTATAAATTCAATTTTTCCCCTAAGAAATGCGTTTTAAAGAATGAAATTACAGCATGAATCAGTGAATGTATACACATCTAACAATTGAGGATGTGCTACAAATGGAAAATATATACATATATTTTGTAATTAAGATTAAAAGCTAGAATATTCTATCTTCTCTCGTTGGCAAGAATAATCTAAGTCTTATAGATTTTAAAAAAGAAATAATGTATCTATTCAAGGAATTAAAATGCATCTTAGCCAATGTTTATAAAAACTTTTAGTGGCTTTTTAAATTCCAAGATGTTTTGATAAAGATGCTGTGTACTTAACTGCCACCTAGTGGTTACTTGTTAACATCTTAGATGACACATTACCAAACGGACACACTTTGAAAATCATGTTTTTCCTCACTTTAGAGTGGCAAGATCAAATTAAAATATAAACTATGTTGTCACTTGGTTGTTCTCTTAGGTATTATATATTTTTATTTATTCATTGCATACTTAAGACTAATAAAATTTTATTTGCATGTGTACATTTTTGATTCTCTGTTCCACAGGGTTATAAAGCAATTCAGAAGTATCCCACTTTCAAATCCTGTTTGAAGAAGGAACTTCATAGTAGATAAGTACGTTAGCTTCTCTTTTTTTTTAATATGATGACTCAGTAGTAATAAAGGAAGGGTCACTTTTTATTTGTTTATTATAGTATTCAGAAAAGAGCTGAAAGGAATAGAATGACTTATCATTTACTTTTAATTTTAAAGAAGATATAATTTCATCTTAATCTGTTCATTCAGTTTAAGGATCAGTCTTTATGACAAAATGTTGTTGTTAAGTGCCATGGAATCAGTCCCAACTCATAGCCACCATCTTGTCTAAAAAGCAAAACATACCAGAAAGATGTTTACCTGTGTTCTATTGACTACGCAGAGGCATTCAACTGTGTAAATCACACCAAATTATAGATAACAGTGCTTAGAGTGGAAATTCCAGAACACTTAATAATGCTCATGCAAAACCTATACGTAGAACAAGGGGCAGTACTTCAAACAGAATAAGGAAATACTGCGTGATTTTAAATCAGGAAAGGTATGCATCAAGATTATGTCTTTTTATCATATGTATTCAGTCTGTGTACTGAGCAGATAATATAAAAAGCTAGACTACATGAAGGAGTAAATGATCTCTGATAGTGTAGTGGTTACGAATTGGGCTGCTAATCTCAAGGTCAGCAGTTCGAAACTACCAGCTGTTCCACAGAAGAGAGATGAGGCTTTCGGCTCCTGTAAAGAATTACAGCCTCGGAAACCCTGTACAGGATCACTAGGAGTATGAACCGACTCCACGGCACATAACAATAACAACAACATATGGAGTGTGTGGCATTAGGATTAGAGGATGACACAATCTTGCTTGCTGAAAGCAAAGAGGACTTGAAGCATCTACTGGTGAAGATCAAAGACTACAGCTTCAGTATAAATAAAGCAAAACTCCTCACAAATGGAACAATATGCAACATCATGAAAAGCTGAGAAAAGATTGAAGTGGCCCAGGATTTCATTTTACTTGGATCCATAATCAATGCCCATGGAATCAGCAGTCAAGAAATTAAATGACATCTTGGGCAAATCTGTTGCCAAAGACCTCTTGAAAATGTTAAGAAGCAAAGATGTCACTGTGAGGACAGACATAAGCCATGATATTTTCAATTCCCTCATATGCATGTGAAAGCTAGACAATGAATAATGAAAACCAAAGAAAAATTGCCTTTGTATTATGGTGTTGGCCAAGAGTATTGACTATGCAGTTGACTCCCAGAAGAACAAACAAATCTATCTTGGAAGAAGTACAGGTAGAACGCTCCTTAAAAGTGAGGATGAAAAGACTTAAACTCATATACTTTGAATATATTATCAGGAGAAACCAGCCCCTAGAGAAGGATATCATGGTTGGTAGGCTAGAGAATCAGCAAAAAAGCGGAAGCCCCTTAACAAGATGGATTGACACACTAGCTGAAACAGTGCGCTAAAGCATAGCAATGATTATGAGGATGGCAAGGGAATAGACAATGTTTCCTTCTGCTGTATACAGGATCATTATGAGTCACAACTGCCTTAGCAGCCCCTACCAATAACAGTGGATCACAAACAGCCCAATCTGAAATTTATCATGAGGTTGGCACAGAACCAGAGCTGCATGGCTTGACAGCATGTAACAACAGAAGCATTATATATACTTAAAATATCAAAAATAGAGTCATGCCATTTTGTATGTCCATATAGTGTTCCCAACAAGTGATGATGGTGTCATACCAACTTAGTGAATTCTATACAGTAGTGCATAGAACCATAGATAGAAATGACTATTTATTTTAGACCTTCTTAAGATTGAGAATTAGATAAGTAACTAAACAAAATATTGAACTCCTAATTAAAGGAAATATTTCATGATTAATTTAAGTATTTTATTAAATAAGTGTGAGTCAAAAGGTGTTGGTATAAAGTCATAGAAACCTTTATTAAACAAAAATACCAAAATATGAAGCTATTGTTTCTCAATGTACCCCCTCCTTCCAGATATTTTCATGTCTGAAAACAGTGTTTACATCTCTCTCACCCTTCCCTGAAGAGTTGTCCCTTCTTTAATTTACACAATAATAAAATGGCAGCTTGGGCATCCTTGAGGGATTCTGAGTTTGGGGAACAAAAAGAAGTCTGAAAAAGCAAAATCGGGCATATTCGGTACATGGAGTAAGGCTTCCCAACAAAATTCCCATAGGACAGCCCTTACTACCTTCAAAGAATGATCAGTTACATTGTCATGATGGAAAAAATATTATTTGGAAAATTTTCCTGGCCTTTTGCTAATACCATTTAAATTTTTTTTTTTTTAATTTCTTCTTAGTAAGCCATAGCTCCCTTGATGTTCCTTTGAGAACATTTATCAAGCTTACTCTTTTGGAATCCATAAAAAACATCTTCCCAAGTGCTTTGAATTTCACTGACCCTAGAAAGCCAGTGTTTTCAATGGAACTTTTTTTTTTTTTTTTAAGGCACCCTAATGAGACTAAGACAATTCTATTACTGAGAGAACTTGTCTTCAGCAACCCACCTTTAAACATGTTTTGTTTGAAACAAACCTCCTGTATATACAAACTGTGGCATTGTAGCATAAGCATTAGACTACAAACCACAGGGTTGGCAATTCAAGCCCACCAGCTGCTCCTTGGAAACCCTATACTGCACTTTGAGTCGGAACCAATTTGACAGCACTTAACAGTATATGAACTGGACCCCTCATAGCAATGCTTTTTGACTTACTCTCATTTTCTATTGGATATTGTTTATTGTGTGCCTTCCTATTATGTAGTATTTTCATAATAATTTCTCATTTATACCATCAACTCTAAATTACATCCTAGATGAATATTACTGGTAGCGTCATGGTTATAATCGGGCTACTAACCTCAAGGTCAGCAGTTCGAAACTACCAGCTGTTCTGCTGGAGAAAGATGAGGCTTTCTGCTCCCGTAAAGATTTGCGGCCTTGGAAACCCTGTGCAGGGTCACTATGAGTTGGAACTGACTCCATGGTACTTAACAACAACAACAATTATTGTTTTACTTATTTCAATCAGGTGTTCCTAAGACAAAGTTTAGAGCATAACTGTCTACGTGGCAAATGCAGCAAGTAGAAGTTTCAGAGTTGTGGAAGCAGGTCTGCAATCAGAACTTACAGACTTTTATGAAGCCAAAGGTGAAACTCTATGGAAAAAAATTTTTTTTTCTTGAACTGAGCCTTCATGTAGAACAGGTACAGTATATGTTTAACTACAAATGTTATGTTACCAAGTTGCACTTTTGCCTTGATTTAGTGAACTTTGCACTTATTCATTCCTTTTAGGAGTATATACATACTTCTAATAACTACATAAGAATGTATTTTTATTTATTTATTAGAAATCTGCCTCATTTCTAAGTAATACATTACTACTCATGGAATGTAGCTCACCTAAAACTGAACACTTGTTGTGGACTGTGAACTTAATTTTCAGAAAATAATATGGCTTGGCATTAATCTTAGGGCCCTTAGAATGGTTAGTAAACCCCTTTTACTTTCTAGGTTTTTAATCTCATTGGAGTATTTTTTTTAATATGATAATGGAAAATAGACTACTACATAATACAATGGTTTACACTGTACTTTTAACTTCTAAAAGTACTCAACATATATTTTTTGAGTATTGTATAAAGTTGGGTGTTTTGTTTTTTTGGTTTGTTTTTAAATTTTTAGGTTCATTTACCAAAGTCAACAGAATGGCAGGTATTCATTTATGTATACAATAAAGAAATGTAAAACTGATACTGTTTCTTAAAAAAAAAATTGATGGTATTAAGAGTGGTCATTGTAACAGTACCTGAATTGTCATTATTGTCTTAAACATGATGCTGCTCTTGATTGCAGGTGATAATATGTTAATAACACTAGTAAAATAATATCTTAGCAGCTCTAACGTATTGTTAATATAGTCTGTAGTGTTAAAATGGGTGTTATAAAATATTAATATTAAATGATTGATGTATATATTAGGTAGAAGTTAACATTTTGTGACTTGCAAAAGGACCACGTGAGAAAGTGATAATAAGTGTTAAGAGTAATTATGAATAATTTATTATTTCAAAACAACATGTCTTAAGGTGGGGGGAAGAAAAAATTTCTGTTGAAAAATAAAACAATGGATTTTCACTTGAAGAAAATACTTTGATGGTACTTCTGTTCAATTTAGAAAGTATAGTGTATGCAAGGGTACTGTGTACAATTAGAACAATACATTTAACAGTGATACATATGGAAGATGATGTTCATGTATCTTCTTTTCTAAGATATTTAAGGTTACACACACTCCAACTATTACACTGCTTTTGCGTATAAAAATAAAAACACTGACTTTGTTTTTATATATTATTATTGAATGTAAAATTGCTAGTTATTAGCCTATTTATAAATGTTATTTCTCAGAAAGTGTTATTATTAGTATTTGATAGACTTTTTACATTCTTTAGCTAATATTTACTATACAAATACATAAGTATGTGATTCATAAGTACAAGGATCTCCTGTAATAATTTAGTTTACCTCTTTTGAAGGTTGATTCAAGTGAGCATCTTATAAGATTGACTAAGTGAAAATGCCTATTCCACTTGTTAAATATGTTCTCTTCTGTTTTACCTTACTCTGAATGTTCTCATTGTTAATTATATGCTATATAAAATAACTGAAAAATGCAATTTGGTTTAATCTTTGACTAAGTTCTTGTATACATAGGAAAATTGCTATTTTAGAAAGTCTTACAAATAAATACTTAATTAACTCATTAAAATCTTATATAACTGCCACTCCCTTAAGAAAACATACTATACTACGTATGTTCTCTTTTTTCTTTATTGCTTATTAGAATGAATGGATGAATATATGTTTATAAGACTATAGTATAGTATTAAAATGTGAATAAAATATTCTAAGCAATTAAATGGAAAAAACATAGTAAATTACAATGAATCCCTTTTATGTTATTATAATTATTATTGAACTTTACTCTGTGTAAAATGGAAGGTAAAGTTATCTCA